CTTGACATGAGGCTACCAATTAGACAGTGAAGAGAATTTGAATAATAGTTCTTGAACCGAAACTGCTTTAAATCATGTCGTGTTGATTCAAGGAACTAATAAACAACATTCTAATTCTAAAGAATATCGGCTGCTTAACGCCCTGCAAAAAGAAATATCTGACTGAATATCTTAAATCAAACTTCAGTTATACAGCTCTATCATTGTTCATATCGGGTTGTTTCAAGGAATTTATAAAACTATTTTGAACAGAAATAGTGTGAAGACGTCCCGTTCCTAATGGTAGACCAGTGACAACCGTAAAATAAAATGAATCAAATGCAGCTTTAAAATAGATGAATCGCATGCTACAGCAGCTCGAATCACCAACACTGATCTATGATTTGGCGAAGAATAAAATTTTTTCAGAGAAGACGCCCTCGTTCTGACAGGTTAGGTCGCAGCCTTCTTATTAATTGATGTATGTGCCATACGTTGCTTTGAACTGACAGTAACTTCCCAACACGGAGCAGATAGAAGAGTCACTCGCACACCCTCAGATCTAAGCGCCTATTATATACGGAAAAAACGTGATACAGCCAACATCAATCGTATCATGATCCTGTCACTTCAACGGATTTACAAGGAGTAGCCACCGTCATCTTGCTTCTAGTGGCATAAGGGTCCATTCAAACAGGCCACAGTCCTATGGCATGTCAGCACTTACAACGCATGAACGTAAAACAGCACAATTTTGTTGGGTTTGGGGGCATACACCCAGTGGTTCGAACCGTTCAGCCGGTAGGCCAACGAACTCTCCTTCGTTGAAGCCAATGGCAACCTCAAATTCACATTAAAGTACTTGCACTCGATGGAATAACGTAGGATGGTATATGTCTCTTTTTTTCCAATGCGACAAACTACAGAACGACACCCGGCAAGAAGAAAAGTGAACTGAAACTACTAAATATGGATGGTCAACGTGATGACTCAAAGACATTCTTTGATTGCGAAACGATCATCCACATCGCACATGATGCAGCAACGTATATTTCCCACCGCTAGCACTTTTTTTTAATAAGAATGAGGTGTTTCGCCAGTTGGCCACTCTATCACACCAGAACGGTTGCCTAGGTGATCAAGATTTCTTTTGACATTCTGCTTTGAGTGGAATCTGACAGACGGATTCAGAGAAACCGTAGCGTATACGCAAAGTATCGCAGGGAAAACAACACTTCAATCCAAACACGTGATTTTTCTATTGCTGTTATGGGCATTCAGTCAGAATCATTTCCAAACGAATGAACCAGTTTAACGGTACGTGGCTAAACGCCGAAATTAATTTTAGTTCTGACTGTACCCCCCTCGCTTCGCCAGCCCACTGACCAATTTTTCCCACGTTCATTTGCATATCAAAAGAATCTTTTTCACAAAAAACAACAAAATCGAAATGCGTTAAACGCTCAAAGCTACTTCTACTTACAAGATCGATGCGAATTAAACGAATGTTTTCGCAGCGACAACGAAGGCATGCAAGCCATGTACCTTTCACTGCTGGCAAAAACTCCAGACATTTTGATTAGAATATAAGATCGTCATAAATCGAAACGCAAGATGCACATGTTTCCTTTCACCTGAAAAGCGACCAGATTTCAAGAGGCCTTTGAAAACAAGAAAAACACCTAAACATGATATTATGACGATGAACTTGACACCATCAAGTTTGTCCGGAACGGTATGCAGAAGGCCTGCTTCTTCACTGAGGCTGCCAACCATAGAAAATTGTGGTTGTCAAGTGACGAATCGCCGAGCAACTTATAACCAGAAACGGACCAACCGCGTTCTGGCACACGCGTCAGCAACACCAGAATGGGAGCCGCTAGTGTTGAGGAGGACAGCGTCAAAAAACCGGCGGCGACATTTTATACTTTATATCAGAGCAGGAAATACGTACAGGCGCGCCGAACGGATCATATTCATCGCAGTCTGTGCAAATATTAAAAAATCACAGTACGTTTTTTTGTAAAACGACGAGAAGCGACTCGTCGTGACACTGTTCCATGACGGTCACCTTCGGACAGAGCAATGCCAACAACTGGCGAGTAAAAGCGCACCGAGGAAACGCGTAAACGATACCGGCCGTAAAAGGGGCAGCAGCTGTACTAGTAGTAGTAGCAGCAGCTTTGGGCATGTGTTCGGTATTCTGAACCTTCACGACACGCTGGTTCGGGGTCACGGAGACGACGCCGGCTGCGTTCTTTTCCATAAAGTATTTCACCAATAACTTCATGTTGTGCATTTGATGGTCATCGCCGCCTTTCGTGTCCGACGGAGCCAGAACGTTCGCATTGGCATTAGGAGCCGCGAGCATAAACGTGTAATCCGGGCTCGACAGCCACTTCTGTACATCACCCGGCCTCGGCTGGTCCAGCTTCAAACGTTGGTTGATCGTAAGATGTACACTATCGCCATGATCATCGCGAAGATATGCATCTATCAGATCATCGTCGCCGTACAGCTTAAAACAGCGCACCGGGTATGACGACTTCTTGAGCACAACGGTTCCGATCCAACAAGGGCTGCACAAATTGTTCAGTTCTTCGAGGGAACTGGCGTGAAGCATGTTCAACGCTGGTGCGATGGTCTTGACATTGTCAGTCACCGTCGACACACTAGACGATGCCGCAGAACTTGGAGGAGTCACGGCAATAAATGAACTCTCCAACGATTTCTCTTGAACATACTTGTTGTCACCGTCCGCAGCCTTCACCGAATTCGCAGAGGGACTCGCCGACCACGAATGTTCGGCACCTGCATCCAGCGTGCCTCGAAATATGCTTTCCGCGTTCACTTCGTTTTTGACAGACACCGTGATGACTGCCGATTCTTCTAACGTCTTTGACCCAGCTTTCGACCTACTACGCGAATGACTGCGGGTTCTGTTGTGGTTAGGCTTCTTCTCGCCTAGGATATCTTCAGAGCTTATACTTTGTTTACTTCTCCGACTGGGGCTGTCTTTATGCGTACGACAATCTCTCTGAACCGGAGGAGGAGAATTTCTAGCGACAACCGGTGAACCTCTGAAACTGGGCGTATTCCTACTGCTAAAGGAATTCAGGCGGCTCACTGGACTTCTACGCATCGGTGAAACTTTACTACGGCTTGGTGAAACTTTATGGGTCAATGAAGATCTGGCAGGCGATTTGCGGCGACGAGTTCTGCGTCGACCATTATCCTCAGCAAAATTTTGT